TTACTCTACATGTTCTTGGTTCTTTCGGTAAAGTCACGTAGAAGGGAAATAATAAAATAATAAAAATAAAACATAATAAAATAATTCTCACGACGTTTCGGCCACAACGCAAGCAGCCGTCCTCAGGTAAAGAATGAAACATCACCAAGCTTGGAGGGTATATTTAAGCTGGGTTGGAAGGGGAAGAAGAGCGTCTTGATATGCAAATTCTTTTGTCAAGATGCTCTTTTCCCCCCTCCAACCCAGCTTAAATATACGCTCCAAGCTTGGTGGTGTTTCATTCTTCACCTGAGGATGGCTGCTTGCGTTGTGGCCGAAACGTCGTGAGAATTATTTTATTATGTTTTATTTTTATTATTTTATTATTTCCCTTCTACGTGACTTTACCGAAAGAACCAAGAAGATGAATCCCTGCAGTTACGAAAGCTTTAAATCGAAATTGACTCTACATGGTTGGGTTTTTGAACGGCTCGCTTGGTCCTACATTATTGTACGCATTCAGGGGGGGACTGGCTTTGAAGATTTCCTACAAACATAGCCTCATGGCAGGGTTCACGAAAGATCAGCTGCAAGATAATTAAGTGTGCCCTATTATTTCCATTGTTATTAAATCATTCCAGCCCTTTATCGATACTCTGTTGGATAAAGGCCTTCTCTCATGCCACGTCGGCCATGGTGTGGCCCCGTGGGGGGGGGGAGGGGGGCAGTTTGTCAACTGGCCGCCTCTGAAAAAGAGCGTCATTGCTCATCAGATTCCTTCAGTCTAAATACGGATTCTGAACCCTATTTTGTCTTATATATACCGGGCTGGTGTAGCCATGGCCGAGATCCAAACTCGGTCCCTCTGGGGTTGTAGCACCCTTCACCACCGCTTCACCTCCACGTTGCCGCTACAGCATTCCCTCGTTAATCACGAGGGATACGTTCCAAAGATGCTCGTTAGGAGAGGATTTCGCGGGTCATGATATTGGCCTACGAATATATAGTACGTGCAATGTCTGCAAATGCTTCTAGAGCTTCGTGAAGTTCTCTAACTTTCTCATCTCTTTATCTCATCACATTCTCTCATCACTTTGTCATCACTTTATCTCTTTAGTTTCTCTCTGTCTGTGTGCAGTTGTGTAGCTTTCCAGATGCGATTCACAGATAATCAAAATTGCGGATAGCAATTTCGTGAATAACGAGGAATACTGTACTGTCGTCACGTGCGATTGTTTACTGCCCATGCTATTATGTACGGACAGATTTTCACCGTACTATAATGCATGCTCACAAACATTTATATTTCATACAGCATGTCACCCGTGTCGCTACACTCATTAATCTCCACCGACGTCTTAATAGGAGGATACAGGTTTTGTTGAGCTAAATGCATGCATGTGTTCCGGCAAATGGCTTTTGTTTTCCCGTGTACCAGCATCATGTGGGTATCAGGCACTCATTTCCGTGTGAGCGCGGGATGGGAGTCAGAACCCATTTGTCGGATTTTTACCAAACGTAGCGTGTTGGATTAAGAACAAGTCTTTTGATTTTGGAATTTAATTTTTTTTAGTCAAGCGACAACGGGAAATGGGGTGCTTATTACGGGTACTTGCAGGTGACTTGGACGTGTGATGGCGAGGTGCTTTCGCGTGCCAAAGAAAGCAACGTTAAATTGAGGCCCAGTCTTTGAGCAGACAATGAGTGGCAGGCAACGAAACATGGGCGCAGACAATGGCGACCGTGCGGCCCTCGAGATGGCAAATAATCCACAGAGTTAAAGAACGAGGGGCACCTTGCCCCCCAAATGTCGCCTAATTATATATGCTTCCTTTTAAGGCCACGGTGTTATTGACCGATGTTGTGAGTGGGTTTTTTTTGCTTTACCCCAAAAATGTAAAGGTTTCGTGCAAAATTCATAGTTCGTTTGAATGTTTTATCCTTTGCACAACGAGCTCTGTCCACTTACAAGTGAGGCGGAGAATGTGGACTATGCCTCCATTTGTTAACTTCACGATTTAATTCGAAAAATGTTACGCGTTTTTTGTGGCTCAACAGGAATAACCCGTGTAAGTTATCAGATGTTTTAGCCATATGTGTTTAATTAATTCAGAAAATATTTCAACAATTACGCTTTATCTTTATATAAATAATGTTAATGTAATAAATGTATGGAACGCAACAGTATATAAAACGGACCATTGCCTTTCACCGACCCTTTGCTTAAAGGCACACCGTGGAACCTGCGATGTTTTATGAACTGACGTGCGTGGACTTTAAACGGCTTTGGCAGCGTGTGTTCTTTTTGCCGAACGTTTTCAATTTCACACGGTGGACACGACGATTTCTGTTGAGTTATATTTACAATTGGAGCGGGCAGTCGGCTGCTAGCGCTGTTATGTTTTCTAAGCATATGAACTCTATCTGTTCATCTCTGGACTGGCAAACCGCTTAGAGTTTGCTTTGTTTGGAAATCTAATTATTTCAGTTTGCCCAACTTGGTCCCTGAACGAGGGCCTGGCCATTCCCCGTGACACCATTACAGTTGTAGAGAAAATGTTGCTGGATTCAAGGCTGTGTTCTTCACTTTGATGCTTGTACGCATGCTATCCCTCGTCGCCAATGCACAGCTACTGATCAAATATATTCTTTCGGTTGCAAGGTGGCCGAGAGATAGAACTACAGCGAGTGGATTGCACCACTCCGAGGATGTTTCTTCGCAATTTTTGCCACAAGTTTGCGTGGTTAATGCAGAATTAATGCCTTGTAAGATGTGTCTGTTTGGTGTTTGAACATCTGAACGCCTATTTTATTTATTGCCAGCATGGGTAAAACCTATTCTTATTTTTCATAATTTTGGATGCTGGCAAACATATCCCATACATATGGATTGAAACCATCTGTGCGGAGCTTTGAGTGCTGTCCCCTCGTATTGTGAGGTTTCTACGGGTCCTCCGTTTTCTTCCCACATGCCAAGTGCACACAAATAGAATTTACATCCAAAAGCAGGGTCCTCCTGAAATAGTCTTAAATTGGAATTCTTGTACAAACAATGGGCATTGTTATCATAAATCTCGGTAGCTAGCACATTTATACTTTTACATTCGTGCTCTTGAAGTGTACGTGTGCGTATTAAGATCGCCAAAACGGAATGTTGTCAAACATACGCATGCAAAATAGATCCCCCGTATAGCCTTAGCAGACTGTTGGGGCAAGTGCTGTTCGCGAGCACCTATGAAGGCCGGCACGTCACACGAGGGGGTGGGTGGCCAGCACCACGCCCGGCCGCCTTTGTCTCCCCAGTGGCGATGTTTTTACGCACCGCATCAGGTACTCATTTGAGGTGGAGTCGACCTAGGGGAGGCTCAGGACCAGTTCGGATAATCGTCACTGGCGTTGGCCGTGACCGGTCAAATCGAACTCGAATCGCCGGGTTCATTGAGCAGCGTAGCGCTAACCGCTGCACCACCGCTCCCCACGACTCTGCTGACACTGAATCTTGGGATACATTGAAGCTTTCCTGAGTTAACAAAAAAAACTTTGCTGTTATACCAGTGGGGAAGCTGTTGAGTGTGTACACAGTACCAATGCACCAGAGCTCACGGGCTGGAGGGGTTCAGGCGCCCGGGCTATGAAGGGAGGGGAAATAGCACGTGGAGCGGGAGGGGACCCCATTTTTAAATCCTTTATATTAAGTTCGCTTGCTTGCTTGCTTGTGTGCTTGCTTGCTTGCTTGCGTGCTTGCGTGCTTGCTTGCTTGCTTACGACCGTGCAAATCTTTCGGTCGTTTTTTAACCCACTTCCCGTGATCCAATCGAGATGACATTTTGCACACAGACTCGTTGTGCGAGACAATTAATGTTGGTGTAAAAATTTTTCCATAATTTTTTCCAAAATTTTACACTGTTTAGGGAAAACAAATTTAATATTTAATTTCCAATTGCTTAATACTGGCAGACAATCATCTGACCCATAGGTGGCAGCCATCTCAAGCCAGAGGACGAGAGGACTCTAGCCGCCACGCATATAAAGGATTTATAGTGAAAAACTTTGTTTTTACGGGTTATACTTATATTCCTAGCACTAGGGCCCAGCTCACGGCGCTGTATTTTTGCTCTGCAACAAGTGAAGAGAGAAGGAGGAGGCTGTCACGTGGCCCTGTGGCTTACGCGAGCTGATGTCCACTCCGCGTATCATCGACATGCACGTGTGTGTTGATGTAATTATTTATTATTTTCGCGTATCTGGTGCTCTAGCTTGTGTGAAAGTCATGCCCAAGTAAAAAAAAAAGGAAAAAAAGCATTCGCTTGAATAAGTAAAAAGAGAAGTAAAGGTAACACCTTCTTGGTTCTTTCGGTAAAGTCACGTAGAAGGGAAGTAATAAAATAATACAAATTAAACATAATAAAATAATGATCACGACGTTTCGGCCACAACGCAAGCAGCTGTCCTCAGGTGAAGAATGCATTCTATTGTGTTTTATTTTTATTATTTTATTACTTCCCTTCTACGTGACTTTACCGAAAGAACCAAGAAGATGAATCCCTGCAGTCACGAAAGCATTAAATCGAAATTTAAAGGTAACATATTTTCACAAAAAGGACACCAGGGTGGCTTGCAGCCCCTCGTGCTAGATGGGGTCTGGGTGTCGCTGCCCACCCTGACGCCGCGGTACCCCACTGCGCTGCAGGCCGCTGGACGCTAAGCTAAAACTATAAACCTTTTTTATTTACCAGATAAGGCCCACTGAGCTAATACAGCTCTTTTTCAGAAGCGACCTGACCACAAGATCGCTCAATGAAGTGGCTTATCACGTGGACATTCATAGAAGCCAAATACTGCATGTCGATTCTAAATGTGTAGGAGAGAAACCGGAGGCCCCGTAGAAAAATCCACGTGACCACAGGGAGAGAGAGAGAACACGCAAACTCCAAATATACAGGCGTCAGCTTCGGGAATTGAACCGACGAACCTCCTGCATGCCAGGCGACGGAGTTAACATCTCGCCTCCAATCCTGCAGGCGCCGTGCTGCTGCTGAACGTGGAGGGAGCGGCGCTGAACGTCGACCCCGTACTCTACGCCTGGCTGCTGTACCAGCCGCGTCCGGGCGTGGGCCGAGCCCGGCAACAGGTAAGCAAACGCACGCAGTGGCAGCTTGTTGCGTGCGTTTGCACTTTATTTTCGCGCGCAGGTAGCAATTTACTTTGCTCAGTCGGTGTCAGCCACTGAGGTCGTGACGGGATTCCCCCTGTACCGTGCCCATTCCGTTGTCATGCGCACCGATGGCTACTTTATTTGCACGTAAAATTAAGATCGATTGGTAGATTGATCGAGTTTCTGCAACGTGTAGTTGTCGGTCAATTCGCGTAGCATTTCCCAACATGCCGTTCGCTTGGCGTGTTCCACCAAGGTTCGCGTCGTCGCGCTCGCCAGCAGTGGCAGTTTTTTTTAATGAAAATTAATTTGCGATGCATCGCGAACACGTGGATGACGTGTACATTTGGACACCTGCAGCGCGTGTGGTGCGAGAACTGGCGGTTTAGTAGTAGGTTTTTACCCTTTCAACTGGTACAAAACTGACACCTTTATACAAGGGATCATGTTTGCAATATCCACAACACAAGCAGTCAAAATGCAAACAAAAAGAAACAACTCTGATAATGATAATGATATGCACTGTCCTTGAAGTTGATTGGTCCACACCCGAGACAGCTTTTCTTAGAGCCTAGTCTCCATTGGCGTATAAAGGTGTCAGTTTTTTACCAGTTGAAAGGGTAAAAACCTACTACTATATTTTGCCACTGGTAAAGGAGGTCTCATAGCGTAACTGGTGGTTTGTGAAATAATATATCGCTTGGAATGTATTGGGGGGTTTTTTTAGTATAAGAATACCGGGAGTGCCATGTTAATATCCTAAGGAGTGTCGTTGTTCACATAAGATCCCTGGTTAGCGCGTGTGCAGTTATTTACTTCCCACTCCCCGCAGTGATGTCTTGCATTCAGAGTTACAATTCATTAAAAATATATTGTAATTTTCTTTTTTAGTTTTTACCATCTCATTGGTCTTGTTTTCCCATTTTTTTCCGCTTGTACAGTTTTGTTCCCTCCAATAACCCCCGCAAACAAAGCAACAACATATTGCATGCATATCCTTAGCATGCATTGCGAATGTGTTCATATACACTCGATTCGATGCATCTATCGTGAGCATTAAGCGACTATTTCAGTCATTGAATGCCTGCTGGTTCGCGAGGGAAGAGGGCATGAGAGCAGTTAACATTTCTCCAGTTCCACACTTTGGAAATTATCACCACAGAGTTGAAACTTGCACAAGAATAAATCAAATTAAATGACACCAGATGCAAAGCCGGTGTCATAGAATATTTGTATTTTATAACCGCTGACCTTCAAAGTGTGACCTCAGAATTATGTTTCTCTGGTTAATCCAGTTCAGCGTAGCTGATGGAGTGCCCAGGAATTCCTCCGTGAGTTGCCAGATATCTGCTTCCTCCAAGGTTTTTCACGGTTTTATCCAGTTGCCCTCTGGGGGGACACAGGCTTTGTCGATTGTTAGATCATCCCCGTGTGCTCCAGTTTCTGATTAAAACAACACCTGCTGAGTGCAGTCACACGACGGCTCGACCGTGATCGCCCGTGCACAAATTAAACAATACTTTGGTTTTGTTATCATCCAATAAAATCGGTTTTGGAAATTCAAGAGATGAATTTCATCTCGTGGCACAGGTGCTCGGTGACTTGTTGAGGGCACGTGGTGGCTTGGGGAAGACTTCATCTTGCAGTGGAATTCCCATCGATTTTTTTAAAATATCAATACCCTTATTTTAGTCGAGGTCGAACAATTCAATAATTAATCGATTATTGTAGATTTTTTTAAAGCTCGGAAGGCATGAATCAAATATTTTGCGTTGGAATCAATATTTTTATGAGTATTAGTTACATTTAATGTGTTCACGTCACCCATGCAGCCACAGTGTTACACAAATATATATTTATTTCTTAAATCGAATTGCATCTATAAAGTGTCATCGGGGTGAGGAATCATTCCATCTCTCTCATGTAGCAAGTAAAGCCTTGATGAGTCTCACAACTCCCTTGTTTGAGGTGGGTCCTGCATCGGGATGTTTGTCCACTTCACGTGGGAGAGAAAACCCCCAGAGTACCTGGAGAGAAAAACCCACAGTTAGGAGGGATATGACTCATAGCTGCTCCATGCCGATAGAATCAGAATCTTGATTTAGACTGGAGGAATCTGATGGGCCTACGAAGCTGTTTTTTCACAGATGTCAAGCAGCGGTGGGTTAGCACGATTTAATTCGTTGGTACAGTGCCATTTTTTTTTGCCCACCTTACAGCTCCAAGCCTCCGAACACCTGCAATTTTCAGGAAGTCTCCCATCACAGTCCAAAGCATGCTCACCCCTGTGTAGCTTCTGACATTTGACACATCATTTAAAGTGATTTTGGCCACGTGTAACTCGAAGCTGCCGGTGCTTTAAAGTTTGGGGCACCACACTTTATGGCCTTATTATTTCTCTTCTACGTGACTTTACCGAAAGAACCAAGAAGATGAATCCCTTCAGTCACGAAAGCTTTAAATCGAAATTTAATTCATGGAACATTTCAGAATGTCCTCACAGCTGCTTGATCATATTTTGAGCATTCTGACATTATTGGAGTCCAAAAGAAATTAGGCTACAAATCACTGGACCAGATCAGGATGTTCACATGCGGGAGAGTGTTGTGCCTCGTGAAATTTCACTGCTGTGAGTAACATCGCAATGTTCTGCTTGTTGTGTTTTACTTCCAAAAAATGCCTGCTCAGGAATACAAATAAAATTCTCAAGTTTTTATGACCGTACATCGTAATGTTTGTCTAACCAAATGGAAACAAGTATACATGGATAAAGCTTTGTCATGGTGCAATATGTTATTAACTTGTGAAATCGTAAAAAGCAAGATGCGCCCTACAATTCCTGAGACATGTCGTTGCTGGTAGAAGGGCCTCCACGAGAGATAACTCGAGAGAATCCCGCCGGAGCATATCCTGACCCACTCTTCTCATGCTGTCAAGATGTCTTGAAAGTGTTGGCAGAGTCCCCACCACACTTTATTGCACCACACACACCACCTGCTTATTGCATAATTGTGGCACACCCATTCATGACACTGGGTGGACAGAGGTGGGTGGAGATTCACGAAACGTGCACCATTATTTATGACTGTTCTGCCGGGAGATCGAACTGGTGATCTCTGAAATGCAGGTCCGGTCATGGGCTTCGTTAAAGCAGGGAAGTTTCACTCGACCTTCAGATTCCTTTTCAAACGGGTCTGGCGTTGGATTTCGGTGGAGGCCCGAATACTCTCGACGGATGAATTCAACAATCCATTTAGTCGACTGTTGTTTCCTGGCCATTTCACCGCCGGCCACTGAGTAGCAGTAGCAGCAGTAGAGCTTTATTCATAGCCACATCAAGATCCCATTGAGACCTGGGGTTTCCTCTGGAATCGTTGGTAGATACCTAACAGATGCGACTGGTGCTACCGACTAAGTGGCATCGTACTGTTCAACGAACAAATTAAAGTCCGCACCTTCAAAAGGATGCTCCCGTGATGTAATTGTATTGTTCGCACACCGGACTTGCAATACAGATTTTGTCGGTTCGCGCACGCGGCGCGGATGTTGAAACGGTGAGAAAGTTTCCTGAATCATCCCCGCATCTGTCCATGCAGCAGTATAAATAAGTACATCACAAGTAGTCGATGGGGAGGTCATGTATGAGTGATGGCGGTGTGGGAGGGGTGGAATGTTTGAGTACTCTGACCTCTTGCAAGCTCTCTGGCCAGTGTGGAAGAGTTGGCTAAACTAAACGAAAACTAAACTATATATTTTACTAGGTAAGGCCCATGAAGCTATGTAGCTCTATTTCAGAAGTGACCTGGCCACAAATTATAGCTCAACAAAGTGGCTTATCACGTGGAAAGGTAGAGCAGCCAAATACTCTAAGCGCATGTTGATTCTAAATGCGGAGGGAAAAACCAGATGACCTGGATAAAACTCCACGCGACCACGGGGAGAACATACAAACTTCAAATATACAGGCATCAGGGTCGGGATCAAACCCACGACCTACTGTATACCAGGCAAGGTAGGTAACATCTGGCGACCGTGATGTCCACGGTGGCACCACGGTGGCGAGATCTAGAGAGGAGCCCTCTCGATATCCCTTTAGTGGTGGAGGCCCTGCCACATCAGCAGTGGCACGAGCATGCAGGCATCTTCAGATGAAGCAGACATGGGTAGCAGTAGGGAGGCCGGTGTGGGCTGGGGGATGCGGCAGCTAGCACGAGCGCTCAGGTCACGGCTAAAAGAGAGGGAGTTGTGGGGGAGAAGGTGGAGGAGGGGAGGGGGAGGGGGGGGCTGAACATTGGGGCCTGCCCCGGCAGGCCGCCTCTGTGTTTGTGTTGGCAGCCGTGTAAGGAACAGCCCTGTAATCTGAGGCCCTCGGAGGAGTCTCCGTGCACTCAAGCTCTCAATCGAGGAGTGCGGAGACGGGGTGGAGGTGCAGGAGGAGGAGGCCGGTTTGGGTGGGTAGCTTGCGGTGGTGGTGGTGGTGGTGGGAGTGTGTGTATGTGTTGGGGGGAGGGAGGGAGCTCGAGTGGACATCAGGGAGTGGGAGGTCTGATACCAGATGCTGCACCCAGTGCGGTTTGTCAGCTCTTGTTACCCTGCCGCCGCGATAATTGGGGATTGAGGACGAGACGACGTGAGCATCGGCCGGTGCTGATTTCCTTGATTTGCAGGTGGAAACTCCTCCAGTTGTTCCCCGCGGTGCTGTTCACCCAAGGCACACACAAAGCGGATCTTTTGGGCGTGTTGTGAATTTGCGAGGGGACGCAGAGTGCAATTTTGTCCCTTTTTTCTGAAAGCGTTGCGTGCCATCGGAGTGTTATATTTCCCGGGCCAATGGAAGATTTACACGCGATTTGTGCGTCTGTCGGAAGTTCGCTGCACTCGTGCCGTATCCCGTGTGTGGTGGTGTGCCATTTGATTAATGGATATTTGTGAAAAAGAGCTTTGCAGCTCATCGGATTCCTCCAGTTTAAACGATGATCCTGATAAAGATTCCGGTAAACACTGCTTGCATGTTTCCTTGTAGTCCTTTTTTTCGAATGTTGTAAACATTCCCCGAAGATTGCCCAATTTTTTCCCCATCGCTTGGTCCTGTCGCACCGAAATCGGGTTGCCGCTCGCGGAGTCTCTGATCGCTCCCCGTTCTGCGATCTCGGCGCATTGTCCCGCTTTGAGTTGCAATAAAAACACGAGAAAAAATAACCCCATTCCCCAACATTCCACATCCTCCAACGAGCGCTCCGTGAGTGGCAGCGCGCAGAATATGTGCCAGTGACATGACTAGGAGAGGTCTTCCTCACCAGAGGTGTAATTGGAGGCGACCCCTTCCTCGAGAGCGCGGCCAAACCCCACTACAGATGGGAGAAGTGTAGCTGGCGTGGTCATCAATCAGTCATTCCTAATTGGCTGCCGATCAACTCCGGTCTAATTGGGGGTTGCTGTCTTTGGGAAGCGATCGCACGCCCGTCGGGCTAGACGCTGCTCGGTCGTGAGAATCGATCTGGCTGCGGCCTCCATGGGAGACACGGGGGGGTAGTGCTGCTTGCACTTGCAGCGTTTATTTTTTTTTTCACTTTCCCTCGAGCAACTGCGGGGATTTAGCGGAAGAATGGAGCGATTGAATAAATGTTCTCTCCGGTAGGAAAAAAACTCGCATAAAAGCCTTCAGACGCTCCATTCTCTTTGAATGTACGTCACGCGCAGGGCGACTCGGAGAAAAACGATCGATGAATGACCTCGTGCAAGAAAATGTAGATCACCGCTAATATGTTTTACATTATACAGAAAAACGTAATACACCGAGTATGTTTGTGCTGGATACGCTGCGTTGGTTGGGTAAGAGTTTTGGTATGTTGTGTGTACTTTGCATGACAACTGGCGGTTTTATTAAATGCCGTTGGTAACATTAATATCGTGACCCCCGCATTCCAATTGTGAGCGAAGTTTAACTGCGGTTGCCGAACACAAAATGTGTTTGCAATTAATTTGTTTGTAGCGATGCGAATGTGGGTATTTAGCGAGTTGGTAGGCGTAAAGTGGCAAGGAAAGTGTCTTTTTTAGCCGTCGATTAAATGTAAAGGGACACTGCGTCGGGGAAAAAAAAATGTCACGTGCAGATGGGGATGTGTTTCGTTTCAGAGCGGTTACACATGCAGACTCGAAACATTGTGTTCCTGTATTTGTCTGGACTCCATAGTAACTTGTGAACACGACCCTTGATAATGGAAATATTCCGTCAACTCCACGAGTGCTTTCACAATCGAATGTGTGCAGATTGACAGCGGACGTGTTGCGCTTTAGTCAGCCGCACCGATGAACTCTTTTTGCATGTCAAGTGGCGAGTTATTAACCCTCAGATGCCACCGTCAATGCAGAAAAACACCAGCGGTTGAATTGTTGATTTAATCCGGCGTTCTTCATTGCAAGGTCCCGCGGGCCAATCGCGGCCCCCGGTGGCCTGGAGTGCGGCCCCGGACAAGACACAACACGTGACAACACCCCCCATCGTGCTGTCGAATGCCAATGGTTTCAAATGTGGCGTGGCGGCCCTCGCACTGATGGATTATCGGCAAAAGTGCCCCCCCCCCCTCCGCCCACGTGTGAAAATTAGCGAAGAACGCTGATTTTACTTTTAATCCTTAATTAACTTGAGCTATTTCACCGGACAACGCAGCGGAGTGAGAGCGCAACGGTTCGCGATCACAACTTAGCCCTATAACCTTCTGCAGACAATAAAACCAGGACCGCTCTGTGGGAAGTCAACAATGATTGTCTCATTTGTCATCTCGCCCTCGCCATAGGAATGTCTAATTTCCATTAGCGGCTTGAATCTGTATAAACAGGAGACAAGTACCAAAAACATCGATCCCCCATTTCGCCATAACAGACTGTTGGGGCAAGTGCTCTTAGCGAGCACCTATGAAGGCCGGCACAGCACACGAGGGGGTGGGTAACCAACACCACGCCCGGCCACCTTTGTCTCCCCAGTGCCGATGTTTGTTTTACGCACCGCACCAGGTACTCATTTGCGGTTGAACTGACTTAGGGGGAGGCCTAGGACTGGTCCAGGTAATGGTCACTGGTCTTAGCCGCCTGCGGGAATCGAACTCGGGTCGCCGGGGTCTATCAGCGCAGTGCGCTAACCGCTGCACTACCGCTCGAGTACCACCACCGCAAGCGCCACTTTCACTTTCAGCCGCATTAAAATTCTCTTCGAGGCTGACCCCACGCATATCTTTGGTAGATGTGCGGTAAGGTAAGGGGGAGGTGGGGGGGGAGGAGAATGCCATTGCTCTACTAATGTTGTTTGCCTGCTTGTGACTCCCTCACCTCTTATTCTTAGTCTGCGCCAAAGGCCGCTGCCACTGCCGCGTCGGCCGCCCGGAAGAAAGGGGACGAGGCCTCCCTCGGCAGCGCGCCGGCCGTGACGCAGCCCTCGCACCAGGGCTCGGAGAGGGCCAGCAGCCCCCTCAAAACAAAGACGGCCACAGGTGGGGACCCCACCCGCCTCCTCCCCTGCTCCCTGATCGCTTCTCTTACTGCCTTTTGTGGAGCTGCTGTGGTGGAGTGGCTAGCACGTGGGATTTGTAATCCACGGGGTTCGCCGGTTTACTAAACTAAGCCCCACTGAGCTATGTAGCTCCTTTTCAGAAGTGATCTGGCAACAAATGATAAGTCAACTAAGTGGCTTATCATGTGGACATTTATAGGAGCAGCCAAATACTCATGTTGGGTCTAAATGTGGAAGGAAAAACTGGAGAACCTGGAGAAAAATCCACGCGACCATGGAGAGAGAGACATGCAAACTCTAAATAAATAGGCGTCATAGTCGGGATCGAACCCACGATCCTCTGCATACCAGGTGAGGTAGTTAACATCTCGCCACCATGGCGCCCGATGGTTTTATCTTCTGGCACGGCAGTTGAAACATTGGTCAAAGTTTCTTAAATACCGCAGCCTCTCTCGACCCCCTGAGACATGTGTGTGTGTGTTTGTTGAACTTCTTTCGCACCGTACGTAGCTAACCGTGATAATCGGAGGTGCGGGGGAAGGACAACAAACCAACACACTAAATGCAATCCTGAATAAATTAGTTTTCAATGTTGATTTAACAGTGCATAGTTCCAATGGCTTCCTAATATCGGAAGCGAGGGCGTTCCAGACGGCCGCTGAAGCGCATCTGAAAGCGTGATGCAGCAAAGTGGGCACACCACAGTGAGTCGATTGGCAGTTTGTATGTGGTGGGTATATTTTTGGTCCTCCCATCCCTTTCTAAGATGAGTGGCTGTTGTGGAAGAGTAGGCCAAATTCTCTTTAGTGAGCTCCTTGTAATGGAGGCCTTTCCACCAGCTGTGTGGTGTGAGCATTTGCAGGGCTGTTATCTTTTTTTTTTTACAAATGTCAGCATTTTGGTTGTCTTTTGTTTGCCCCATCAACTATATGGTAATTTCAGTTGTATATTATTACTTGCAACTTATGTGTTAGTCTTTGTCCTGTGTTCCACTCACTTTCATGCATTTATCCTCTGTGATATTGCAATATTGTGTTACACTGCACGCTGGAGATAACGTTCTATTACTGGAATACAATGACCTAAACGTGGAGAATTCTTCCAATCATCATCATCAGGGTTTTTTGTGTAATTTGAAATGTCTTTTTATAATATTGCATCCCAGACAGTTCTTATCGGGCCACATATGTGGATGACCTCCAATTGTCTCTTAAACATGTGCCAGAAAGTACATTTCTGTTTCTGTTCTCACAAAGAAATATTATGCTCGTTTCATGCAGACGAATCTTAGTAGAGGGGTTGTAAAAACAGTGCTGTTTTTTTGCAATATCTCCACTAACGGGAAGTGCGCGATTGTAACTTCACCCCTATAGACCGCCGTATCCGCGTGACTTAATCGCGATGATTTATCTTTCGAATTCCCATCGCGCGTATTCATTGGTCGATCTCGTAATGCGAACACCGCTCGAGGGGAAGCAAAAGAGACGAGGCTTAAAAATAACACTCAAGGGTCATGCTTTTGTTTGAAATTGTGTGGTTATTGCCCATCTCCCAGGAGGACCTTGCATATTGTATATTATATAAGAAAATGTTACACTGCCCCCCCCCCCCACTCCCGCTGCCTCCTCCACAATTCCCGATTAGAGTTCTTGAGAGAGAGGAGAAGGGGGGGGGGTCACTTCTAGGCCACACTAATCGGGGGAAATTTCCGAGCGAGATTTGCATCTGCGGCGAAATTAAAAAATTTCGTGTCATATTGAAATAGAAACGCTCCCCATTTCACGCTGTGCATCCGTCTGAGTTGTCCGCGGGGCTCCTTTTCGCGCCCGGCCTTGGATGGATGTTTTTCTTTTAGCACAGGGAAAGGAAGGGGGGGTGGGGGGGCACCCGAGGTATTGGGTTCCCGCTAAAGTACACGACGAGTGGAGAGAGCTTCAAAGTGACGGTGCCTCCGTGCGCAAAGCCAAAGTGTCACTTTTAATGAGTTAAAGTTGTACAAATGTTGCACTGTTTATCATCCCTGGTACAAGGTGGGACGGTGAGTTAGTGTAAATCAGGGTCAGCAGACATTTTTTGGCAGCGCCCAAAACCGAAACCTCGTCATTTTGAGAGAGAGCGTCCTAAATAAGTAACGGAGACTCTGCCTGTTAATTTCAGTTATAGTCAGCCGGTGAAGTGTATATATGTATATTTTTTCATACAGGAATGACTTGCAGCTGTTAATACCTTTTGTTCTTGAATCTGAAGCAACTCAGCTCCTCTCTTCTATTGCTGTATGCAGTATAGTGTTTTGTATTTGTTTTTAATTATTGCTACGTATATATATAAAATACATGTACGTTTGGTATTTTCTGGCTATCCTGAGTTGATTTTTAGTTGGCTGGGGGAATGCATTTTTTCAATATAATCTGTAGACTGACATCTCTCATGGTGCAGCCAATTAAAACAAATATATATATATTTTAGGGCTCTGAGAACAATATGGATCTTGGGTGGTTCCTCCAACCTCTCCTCAAACCCCCCCCCCCCTCCCAGCATAATATTAGAAACCATTGTCAATCCACTGCTGGATGAAAACCCCCACATGCCGTGCAGGTTGTAGGGGATGTTTGACCCTAATTTGCCTCATCGGTCTTTTTTTTCCCCCCGCCCCCTTTCTCATACGTAAACCTTTGTTTTGGTCCATTATCCTCAACCTATTATTGACTTCGTATTGACATGTGATTTGCATATGTCGTCAACAATCGCTTATTACACGCAACATGTTAATTGATCAATCGATGCATCTTTCTTTACTTTTCTCGTTTGGTATGGATTTTATCGTGAACGTTGCTTATCAGAATGTGATACGTCCTTGCCACGAGTACGTGTGACCCTCCCATTAAAGGTCACCGGTGCCTTCATGCTATCTCAAGAGGTCAAAGGTCGACGCCGACGCACCCTTTTTATCGGGTGAAACCTGAAAGGCTTCGCAAACAATTTTTTTTGCGGCTTTTAAAATCTTGAGCATTGTTTAAAAAGGTGAGGCCTTTGGATCCTTCGTAGATCCTTCCAGAGCGTCTGGTTGGGTGTGTGGCCCCTATTATATTCGTACTTTAATCCGATCATCCACTGAAAGTTTGCAGGCCCGTCTGACAGCGTTCTCCTCCACCCTTGCAAGCAACTGCAAGCAACTGCAAGCGTTTATACCTTTGCCAGAGCTGTTTTTTTCGGGGGGGGGGGGTTTGCATTTTGAGGGCGGCTCACATTTGTACAAGTTTGCTAAAGCGCCCTCATGCTGCACACGTGTTTTGGTACGATACAAAAAAAGGTGGCGTGAAAAAGTGTACGGGCTTTATTTTTTAGTATTATTTTCCTTCTCCCCCCCCTTCCCCCACCCCTGTATTCTTCTTGAATGCTGGCATGGTCATTGAAGCCCTCAGACAGAGCTATAATTTTGGAAGTGATCCATGCGCCCCCCCCCCAACCCTCCTTCCCTCTGCTGTGCCGTTCGCAAAAAAAAAGTTGAACGCGGCCTTCGGAGAGCGTGTGCCGCGTGCCCAGGTTTACGACAGCACTATTGGTGTGTCAAATTAAGGCTGTCAACCATGAAATAAACTCCGAAGCTTTCAATCATACACATGTAGACCGTTGTTATATATATATATATTTTATCTCTGTTAATTGTATTAGTTCACTTGATTTAGCTATTTTTTTACGGAGTGCCTAACCTGTTTTTCTCCAATACATTTAGCTTTTTTACGCATGTATTTACTTTTGTTGGGTTAGGGTTAGTATGATTGGCGGGTGTTAGGGTTGGGTGGTTGGGCAGTGGCACGGTATTGTTATCACTGTGTATTTTAGCACAAGCACAGATATTATTGCCGTTAACTCACAATAACTAGGGTTCTTTCTTTTGAAGGCACTGCGAATTTTAGTTACCAACTTATAAAGGCCTTTATCTTGCAGTAGATTGACAAAAGGGCTGCTTTTCATACATATATTATTTGCTTTTATGGATTGGGTTATGCTCTGGAAAAAAGATGTTTCGTCTTCTCACCTGTTTCAAAAATCAATGTTTTCCATCCATATTCTACGTTAAGAGAGCCACAGTAAACCACGTGGCTATTGCTTTGATAACCCTACCCTGGAACCTCTCTCACCCCTCTACGTCTTTCCAACTTGCGCGGAACTTGCACCACAAAAGTAGAGCCTTCGCACTGTGAAGCAGAGCTAAAACCTCCCGAGTCCCGTAGGCCTTCCCCACAAGACAGAAGCTGCGAGGTTGCGTGTTGGCGTTCGCCCGTTTTTCTCTTGTTCCTCCCAGAGTGTTCGGACGAGGCCAGCAAATCGTAAAATCACAAAAACCGTTTGGCTGCCGTCTGAGCGGAGTGTGCAACTGGGAAAAGTGGTGCGCGGTCCATTCCAATTAAAACCGTCTGGAATCCAATCTTGATTGGCGGCTATATCTTCATTCAGGATATTCCGTAAATTCCTCCGGTGATTGCGAGTGGCTTGTGACCCCCCCCCCTCCACTTGAGAAGGTGGGCCCACCCGCGCAGAGCTGATTGCATCCTCTTTGTTTACTATATTCCGCTGACATCTAAGTGCTGTGTGTGTGGTGCTGCTTTCTTTTTCTCGTCTCGCACGTGCACCGTGGTGGCTGCGGTGGGTGTGTGGGGGGGTGTTACGTGATCGTGCATCGGCGTGCCTGTCGTTGTGTTTGTTTTTCAATCGTGCAGCCTTCTCCGCTGCAATGACTGGAGGATTCCAAGCGCAGTCACCAAGGAGGAGGCCTCATGCGTAACGTGGCTCTGTTAGGGAATACAAAGGTGTCTCGTGTGCGTTGCGTTTATTGCATGCAACTATATTGGTGAATATCAGCACTTGGCGCAAGTCTCTTTCAAAGCAGTGGAACCAGAGTTATGTTCCCCGCTTGCGATATTACAACTAAATGAACACGTGGCTCTTTCATTCGCAACGGGAATGACTTAATGCAAT